GCAACACTTTTAATGAAAATATTAATTCGTCAATATGCACAGTAATTTCTGTCTAGCATTCATAGGCCATTTTCACAGTGAAAAAAGAACGAGCATTTAACATTTCTATGAAAACGTGCACTTGAAACATGAGTGATGCTGCACTAATCAAGGTAATGTAATTGAGATAAAGGTTGCATTTTAAATTACAGTAAATAAAATACAAATCTAATTAAAATATTTTAAAACATGTATTTCTACAAAACATCAGTCACAGAGGTTTTTTTTGTGTAGCATTATCTGAAATTCTTAAATGCTTAAATACTTGTGCCACCTGATTAAAAATGTTGCAGATGGTTCTGATTGGTCTATAAAGCAGGAAAGTCTTTACAATGATAATTATGTACAGTAGGTCATTTAATAATGACTGACTCATGCATAAGTGCTTTCTATTTCACACCTAAATAAAATGATTTGTTGTCAATATTTTTAGTAAATAATGATATGGCTATAGAGAATATTTAATAAGAAAGCATTTCACACACATTGCCAACATTTACAAGTCTGTTTAGATATTTTTTAAAGATAACATGTTACTGGATAACTGTTCATCAGTCAACAAATTCCATAACTGAAAACCAATTAATACTGTAATAAGTATTAGGTGTTGCTTAGAATTGATACAAATTGTGTTAGCTCATACAATATGCTGTTTTTTTAAATTTTGCTTTCTTCTTCTATTCTTCAGTACATCTTTAGGTAATTAGAATACCATGCATTATTTTGTCTTTAAGATGACTTATAACAACAAATAAAATTAAATCAAAAAACCTACAATGCTATTCACTTCGGATATGGAGATCTTAATAAAGGAGTTTGGTTTGTAAAAGCTTTTTTTTTTCTCAGACAGGACAGGATCATTTATTTGTTGCTTTAATGTGTTAAATGGTTTTTGACATAGTGTATGTATTAACTGAATGTATATCCTCAGTCTTCAATGCACTTACAGTAATTTGCACAATACATATGGCAAAAAATATGTATTGTTTATAATGTGAACAGTCACACAGTTTGACAGAAAAGATCAGTTTCTTCAGTTACCATCAGGTGCAAAGTTAACCAACTAATAGAAAAGACAATATTGCATTTTACACCTTGTTTGACAATCCAGTCACCTTAGGGGTTGTTAGAGAAATACTATACGGTATACTACCTGTAAGCCAATTAAGAAAAGGTAAAGTGCCTGCAGACTTTTCAATACAATCTTCCTAAACTCATGTAATAGCAATATTAATTGGCATTCTTATCATAAACTTTGCAGATTGGATATTTTCTTCATAATATTTATATTATGTATAGCTTTTAGGATTCTCTCTGTGGGAAACTATGATAAACTGGTGCATGTACTGTACCATTAAGCTTACTAATTAGTTACTCATACTATTTAACTTCATATTAAAAAACCTGTGAAGGGAAGCAAGCCCATAAAAACTACTTCAAAACTTTTGAAAACTAAATGCTGTGACTGTTTTGTGGGAAAAAATGGTAAAAATCTGTTTGTGGTTAATGTTTGTGAACACAAAATTCAATACCACAAACTTGAACATCTCTGGTTTAAATAATACTTAAGCAACCTTCCTTTACAACTTAGAAGTTCTTATTCCTCCAAGATTATGAATTATTCAGAAATTGTTTTTATGTTGTAAAGTTGCTAACTTCCTCGTGCTTTTCCACTTCAGGTGTTTCACAAGATTACAGTAAAGGAATCACACCAAATAAATGAACAATTTGACGTCAGCACCCACTTAAGAGAGGGAACTCTGTATTTAAAACTCAAGTGTTTAATATTTAAGGCCCTACCACGACTACATAAACTTAATCCCATTTTCAGTCTCTTCTTCTTTCCTTTGTCTGAGCCATAGCAAGAGACAAGAAAAGGTTATCTGATCTTTTCTAGTAGTATAGATGTGGAAAATTAATTGATTCTACAGTACATACAAGTTAACATAAATAATTATATTATTTAATTATTACATTACATTTCAATTTATATAGTATAAGAAGAATGACAGGTATATGTCATTAAAAGTACAAAACCCATGTGATTAAATCTGTTGTGAACACTTTCCCCCAGTTGGCAATTCTTGTGAATAATACGTTTCTGATAACTGGTGTCCTGCCCATGGTGTATCCTTCCTCATGGCTGTTGTTTACCGGGATATACTCTGACTCCCCTATATATTGGACACAGTGGTTAAAAAACTTATGTATGGAAGATGATAGTTTACTGTTTTGTGCAACAGCATTATGGTGCTAAGAATCTGATACTGGTACTGTAGTTCAAAATGAGGTGACTTCACCACGTCATTAGGGCCAGTCATTGATTGAGGGTGTCATAGTGTTTATTTTTCACCAGTTTGAGCCTATTACAGTACATACATTCAACTGTCTGAAGTCTGTGTGGTTGGTGTAGAAAGTCCCAAGTATATACTGTAGCTGAAGAGGAAAAAAAAGCTATTTTTCCTATACTGTCTCTTCCACATATGTTTGTTGTGTGTTCTTCTCCCTGCCTCGATCATAAATACAGCAACAGTAGTTACAATAATTAAGTGTGGACAGGACTTTCAGCCTTGTTCATCTTTCTCTTTTATAAAATGTTGTATTTGCATGTTTCAATTAAAACTCTTAACAAATATGCTGGGCAGCTTTGCTGCTTTGCAGTGCTGGGGCCTTGGATTCAGTTCCAGACCTGGGATGCTCTTGGCATGGAGTTTGTACTGTACTGTATGTTCTTCCTGTAGTATGTACACGTGGGTTTCCTCTAGCTGCACCTCTTTGTTCTTGTAGTCCTAAGACATAATTAATTGGCTTCTGTCAAAATTGGTTCTGGTGTGAGTGTGTGCATGTTTGTGGCTGCGTTTATGAGCCTGCCATGTGAGGGACTGGCGTCCCATCCTGGGTGTATCCTGCCTTGCCCCTGTTGTTTGTGGATGTAGGCTTTGACTCCTCCACTACCCTGTATTTGATATACAGTAACAGTTAAAAGGACAGATGAAATAATGTATTCCATGAAAAGCTGTGACATTTATTAAACAAATTGTAATACAAGACCAGTGGTTGTCCTCTGTCAAAAGAATAGATGATTTGTGCTCCATCAGACTCATCTAATGCTTCTCAGAGTGTCTGAACTGCTTTATTTAATTTTTATTATTTATTTTTTCTTGTTTCTCCTCACCTTATTGCTAGATCCTTCCTTTTACAGTACGTCATTGTCAGCTGAGCTGAAATAAGCCTTTGCCAAAATGACCTGCAGCATGACTAGTTCATACAAGTTAATGAACTACTGGAAAAATTAGTGTGGTGCTTGATTTAACTTCTCACTGTCACTAGCACTAGGAAATAAAACCATGAAGTCCAAATAGCTAAGCTGCTGGTTAAGGATAGAAAAAGAAGAGGTATAATAATAATATGATTTAAAATCATTTAAAATGTTATGAGCAGTGTTAAAAATGTTTAAAAACTTATTTGTATAAACAAACAGACCTTTTAAAATATAATGCAATATTTTTTAGTTACACTTTCACAAAATTAGCAGCAAAAACTGCAGCAAATCTTCTAAAACATGTAAAAATCTGACATATTTGGAATGGGCAATATCTGCAGTTTGCAATGCATTTCACAGTTGTTCAAGCTAAGGATGTAGAAAAAAAAAGCCTTTTCAGTGATGCATGTTTTTATAGTATGTATGGGTCTCATTTCAGCTTTTCCAATGATTAAATGAGAAATTCTTCTCTGTGCTAAATCAAATGGGAGATTCATGCTGATGTTTCTATACTGCCAAGACACATATGCAGGCATTATAGCGAAACCGGAGGAAAATAGAAAAGTACCAGAAATTGAGCAAGTACTCATAGAAGAGTAAATAGCCTAAACACCATTAAAGTATACTAAAACAATTAATTTATCTCACAAACAATTCCTAATGAAATGTCACGACCATCTTGACTTACTTTGTCTCTGATGTTCATCCGTTTCTAACTTGCATTTTATGTCACTACCTTTGATGTTTTTTTTAACTTGACTACTTCTTTGTATTTTAATCATTTTTTCTTCAGTTGTCAAAAATATGACAGGATTTTCTTATCCATTTCAGTAATGTCTTCTATATACCTAAATTTCCCTTTTGCTCTTAATGTTCAATGACTTGTCTTGCATATTTGATCAGCTCCACTCTGTGCTGTCTGTATGATTTCCTGGACTAATTATCTTCGTACAGTACCTATCGCCTTACATTCATACTGTATGTAAAGGTCCAAGAAAGGTAAAGATGCTCTAAATAGTTAATTAACAATTATTTGTATAGTATATAACTACAATATGATAGCATATAAAATGTTCAGTAATCTAGTGCCTAGTAATTTTTAATGCATATACAGTAATCTATTGAGTTCTGTGGAACTTAATGCTATTGTTTATTGTGCCAGATTACATTTACTGCATACTGTAAGTACAGTATGTTTACGTGTAAGTACAGTTTTTAGTTTGTTACATGTTACTGTTTATAGGGTAGATGTATTCAGTACTTTAATAAATTTAACTGAGAATATGATTTTAATCTGTAAAATTCAAGAATTACAAGATATTTTGGAATTTAAAACTAAACCATCACTTTCAGGCATACAGTTTTTTTCTAAGACTATGTAAGTGCATGGTACTGGTAAGCAAAATAGTTTTTGCTAATTTCCTTTCTTTTTTAACTATGCTTTACAATGTTTTATTTTTTAAAATTGCAGGAGACAATGTCAGTAGAATTATTGTGGGTAAATAATCCATTTCTACACATGTAGTTAATGAAGCACTACTTTGCGGGGGTTGTAATAGGATTGCACATTCATTTACAGAAATGGCATTGGAATTAAATGTGAGCATTCAGTATGTTCATTAAGTTGGCTGACGTTTATCACTCTAATACGGCTGTAATGACTGAAAACTAAGAATATTTTGCCTGCTTCATTTTACAGATACACTTATATGTTTTGTCCCTTCAATCAAGTAACACAGAAGGGTTCCACAGGAACTGAGACGATTGTTTTAGGGTAAGTAATTTGCTAGAGGCACTATTCTGGCATGTTTTATTTCTTAAAGCTCTTGCACACTCTCTCTATTTGTACGTCAGATAGGGAACCATGTCTAAGTTTGAGAGGTTCAATGATAAAGTATCATTAAATAATACTGACTGTACTTCAGTCTCTGATAAAAGATACATCTTCAGTTTGACTTAAGGATAGAAATAATATGTTTATCACTGAAGGCAATCTGTACTGTTTTGGGAAGACAAAGGAACTTGGTTTATTTATTGGCTAACTGTTAACTCCATAATAAATGAAGTAGATGGGAACTTTGTGACACATAGTCTACCCAAAGGGAAACCACACATGCACTCTTGAAAAGGGAGGTTGAATCTATCATCAATCATAAATTACAATCCCAGTATTTGATAAGTTTTCCTTGGGCTGAAGAAAGAACCAGCCAGTAATTTATAATTTACACTTGGCAGGTAAGTCAATGTTCAAATTTTATCTAGTCATTACCTTTACTTTTATCAACAATGGAGGTAGTTACGTTTGGTGTAAAATGTTCCCTTTTAACCTCTCAGTTACCACTATATTGCAGAACGTAACAAGTCCTAAGTAAATGCAAACAACAATTGCACAATTCAGGTTTCATTCCAATAAAAAAATAAATGCAGTACAGTATAAGTCAAATGCTGTATGTTGCCTTAGTGTTTGTAATGTGTACGTGTTGAGACAGTAATAATGTAAAAAATGTGCATCTCAGTTATAGGTCATTCTGATTCTAGGTATAGAAGTGATTTAAATGTTGGATTTTTAAAAGTGCCTTCAGCATATGTGTTGTTCTTTTCGAGGCCAGCAGTGTTATGTGATTCTGAAGTAATTGAGTTACTGTATTATACATATTATACACTTAAATATATTATTTCTTTAAATTGCAGTTTTGTGTACATACTGTAATTCTGAGTCCAAAGGGTTCTTCTTGTAATTTACATGTTGAATGCTATGTTGGTACTAAATTATTTCTTTGGACTTATACTGTGGTTTGCACTAACGCACCACAGGATTATTAAAATGTATTTCTTTGCACCACAAAACCTGAGTTTGGAAAAAGCAAATTTCAACTCCATAAGTCAAAGAAGCAGCGTTATAATGTTACACATACAAAACTGTAGAAGTCTTATCTGCAGGGTGTTTAATTGAAAACTAAATAAAAGGATCGTTTTAAAATTAAATAGTATTCATTACATTAGTGACATTTTAGATTCTATGTTAATGAGGCAGAACTCAGTCCAGAGCGACAGTTGAAAAACGAATATCATAAAAAACTCTGATATGAATATTCCAAAATGCAAAGATTATCATGGTTTGTGGAAATGTTTTGTCAAAAAAGATGACACTTTTCCATCAGAAACATTTGGCCAACTTACACAATATCCTATCGTAGCCTCCCACTTTAAAGAACATAGATCTTGAAATCACAGAAATTCTGCTTTTTCTCACTCAAAGTCTTTCCCAGTTCTGGTTGACTTGAATACCTCAGGATGGTGTATTTGCATGGTACAGCATTCCATCTGACATGCTGATGTGTCAAAAAAACACTTTGTTGGTTTAATGTTCGTGACTACACAATATTTTGTTAATCTTCACTGCATTTCATATCAGCTGTGTTCCTGTAGATAAATGGGTGCATTATGAAACAGTTTTTCATTTATGGATTTACAATCTATCAAGGTTTCATTTCTTTATTAAAGGTTGCCAATCCGTTGTCACTTTTTACTATCAAAGTTCCCTTTGCCATCAGTCAAAAGACAGCTTATAATGTGTAGGTATGTAAACTGGCATTCTACCTTTAATAAACTTTTAATATTCTTTATCATGAGGGGTACTGCCATTTTCCTAGATGTCATCGATCATTTTGCTCCTGACAGCTAAATGTTCAGTTGTATTACAGATAGAGGATTTTATTAGACTGCCCTGAGAAAAGGCCAAATGAGCTAGAGTTGCTCATATCATTATTCTGCTTTATAATATAGCACCAATAACAATATTTCTAGAAATACTGAAGAATTTGTAATAAAAATGTATTTTAAAATATCTACACTAATAATGGAACAGCATTTTCCCCTCTGAATCAAAATACATTGGCATACTTATAGCTCTTTTTCCTTCCAACATAATTGAAGTAATGTTTTTTTTTATACATATCAGGAACTCAAAAAAAAATAAAAGATTCTACAGTGACTTCATAGAAGTATACATGAATATAGCTCTCAGTTCTGTAAGGATAAGCTTGCCTATAAGTGGCATTTGTTATTGAATTAGGAATGTACAGTATAAGTAGGACGAGAAATACAGGAGAATGCATTTTATGTCCTTCCATATCACCACCTTTGCTGCACACAAACACAGACCAAATCCACAGGGTGTTTCATATACTTGTTGTCTGCTCTATTACTGTATGTAACAGTTATGTTAAAGGATCAGGATTCCATCTATGTATTTCACACAGCCAGCACTGTTAAGAGGTTGTTTAATATTTCATTTTCTGCAGGCTGGTTAATGGAGACTAAATGGTCACTTTGGCTGCTATGGAACTCATACTAGTAATATAATTTGTGAGTATACAAGCAGTGCAGCATTTATGGCATAGCCCACACATTTAACAAGTGCACAGGAAAAGGATGAATCACTGCACAGCAGTGGGAATAAGTTCATTTTTTTATCCAGACAGACCATCACTCATTTAGCTCTGGAGCTCCTCACAGAGTAGCAGTGGGCACCAATATTAATCTGTGTGTAAGATAAGTTCTTTTTTCCCCTGTGTAGGTGGCTTGGTGGCAAAAGCTAAGAATAGAAAACTTTGAAATAAATTGTAACATTTATCACAAATATGCAGCAGAAATACACAGGCAGAAAAATCCAAGAATGTGTATATTAAAACTGAAAAGGTGATACGTCTGTCAGCATGCCCTTTGTTATATTGACCATTGCTTCACTTAAATAAGATAAGAGCTATTAAATATAATGGCATTGTGGGCGTGAATGTAATTATTTAGACTGGCACAATTCTAATTTCAGAAAACACATTCATTTCAGTCTGTTGCAGGAAAGCACATCCCTTTTAATACTGGCATGCCTTTATTTGCCAGGGTAACTGTACAGTACATGTGCTAATGTAATATACATTCAAGATGTATTAGACTATTTTGTATTTTCTGTGACCATTGTGTAACATTCACATTAGTGATGAGTCAGGATTTGAAAGTCCCAATTGCTTCTTTCTCTTTCTTGCAATTCCTTTTTTTTCCAGGTTTAACTTGATCTGAAAAAATATGTACTGTATATAGTACACATTGTATTAAAATAATAATAAAAAAGACCATGGGTTTATTGGGGAATGGTGGTGCCTACACAAGACAGAATATTCTGTCTTAATAAAAGGTACAATGATGGTGTTATGCATAAGACTGCCACAAGGTAAATGTGCTTCCTTTGAAATAAAATAAAAAATCCAAAGAGCAGACATGTTCCTGCAGCTGCAGCCACCTCTAGAGAATATAGCAAACCGGGCAGTCAAGTAAACGATCTGTCTTCTTGATAAAGTGTGGTTCACAAAAGCCCGAGCTAAGCAGTCACCAAGGAACCAAGCTGCAGTATAAAAAAGTGAATATGATTGGATGAGCAAGCACCTTTAATAACTTGGTTATTTTTATTGTTGTACATTAAATTCCTACCAGCACAAAAATGCAGCGCCAACTATTTTTTTTCTTTTGTTCTTAGCTTCACCATTATATAATTGTTTCAGCTGCTAGTAACCAATGCAGTTTCTCTTTGGATTTGGGTCATGAAGTAGCAGAATGGTTTCTTTGTATTTTTCTTTTTCTATCTATACCGAAGTATAGAAATAAGAATACCCCACCAAACATCATTCACCTCCATTAGCAGTATACTCCTCCTTTTAAGGATCTAGTCTTCCATTGTGCTCCCAGTGTCACCATGACAAAATTAAAATTAAAAATGACTTTTTAAAAAGTGTACCTAGAAAAGAAAGATGTTTATAGATAGTGTGAGGTTTGCTTTTGTCAGAAAAGCATATAAATTATCTTTATTAACATATTCTTTGTTTATATTGCTTACCACGTCAATGATTTATGCAGCTCCAGCTGCCACATGGATGATACTCCAGAAATGGATAGTTAAAACTGTTTTAAAACTGAATTTTCTGTTGTGATTACTATTGTGGCCATTGAGTGATCATTTGAATGTCAAATCCTGACCATTTTCCCATACTCATCTAAACCAGATGTTACTGTATTTGTTGGCATGTGATTTACTTAATTTTCTTTTCAATCAAGATTGTAAAGATTCTTATCCCTATTGACTTAAAATTATAATTGATTTTTATTTGTTTATGTTTAAAAAAGTGCATTGTACTGAATACAGTATATAAAGTGCATTTGCTTTTCCAAGATCTACAGCAGTTAACAAGAAACAGTCTATTCTTAGAAAACTGCTTTCATTAAAAATTTAAAACAATGCTAAACTGCTTTTCAAAGAATCAATGCGCAGAAATAGATGCAGTGATATTCCAGTCTGCCTGTGATAAAAACCTCTTAGGTTTCTAGTGTCCTGGGAAAACCAGAGAAGGCAGCTGACTAAAAGAGTTCTCTACAGGCTGGTGAGAATTAGTCCTGTATTGTCCCTGCCTGTCCATCATCTGACCTTGAAAACCCTCCAGCTGCAATCTCTTAAGGTCTACATCTTTCCTCGGGAGCCCAGAAAGGCAGCATCAGATTTAAAAATAAAAAAGCATGGAAAATTGAACAGGGTTTATGACAGAAATTCCCATTGCATTTTAATAACCTTTAATGTAACCCAGTGTTTTTCTGTAGAACATTTGCTGAGGTATTTTTTCATGTATTTATTGGAACTGGTCAGCTTTGAATTATGATTCCACAAAACATTTGGTATGCTACAGTACTATATGTGTTTGTGGGGAAAAAGTACGAATTGTGATTAAT